AGAAGAATGAATAGAAATACAATGTGGAAAATGGAGAATTCAGAGCTAGGGCATTTACAATGTAAGTGGGGAAGGGCAAGAGCCTTTAAACCTCTACAAGTCATGCTCCCTTAGGATAAACTTTAAACATAAAATACATGTACATGTACACATGAACATGTACATGTATATACCATCACTATTTATAATTGAAGATCTTAAATGGAAAGTCTGTATACAACACTTTCAGTCCCAATGTTTACATTTTGTATATTACGAAATTGTGCATGGTTTGTCCCTAAGTACAATGTACAGTGTAGGTGCACATGTCAAGTTACATTATTCCTTACATAATATGCTTGTTATACTTCCCAAGACGTGAAGTATTTGATTAATATTAATATCAATAATAACCAGATCAGTCTCACTACCAATAGCTAGCCTATAAAACAAAGAGAGAAATATTAAACACAAAATTACTGTATAGCTAGGAAATTTAGAGTGCTAAATTTGACAAATTGACTCTAAAGTTAATATTTTGACAACATTTTAACACGTGTACATGTACATGTACATGTTGCTACAGAGCTTTATTTAAAAATTGTCTTCAATTTGCTAAATTCCCCAAAATTTTACTCCACCAAATTTTCTAGCTACACAGTATTATTAATACATGTACATGTACACTAGCTTACAGTTTAGATTGTTCCCAGTATTTAATAGCAGTCACATCCACTGGTTCCAATGTGTCATTACTTCTAGTGTACAAGAACACGTGCTGCTTGACATAAAACCCAGGGAGGAGCTGATCCCTTTCTTCATTAAATGATAAAGGTAAGGATAACCTCTCGTGTTTCTTATCACGTAAAGTGTCACCAAAACAAACTGTATCATTGCTCATGTTCACCAACAACGTCTAATAAACAAGCGTAACAGGGTAAAAAATATTCCTATAATTGATTTCACCACCTTGCAAGTACAACTTGGTCACTATTAAGAGTTATAGAGGTTCTCTCTACCTTATAATGCTTCTAGAAAAGTCTTTAGACAGTATCTGTATGCTCTCTTGCTGTTAGAAAGCTCTTAACTTTGTCCCATGTGTAAGCCGCCATTTTGTTTGCCGTGACCACACCCACCACGTAAAGGGGCGTGGGCGGGTGGTTGCTAAGGCTTGTTATTTCTCCAATACAACATGTATAGAAGAAATGTAAGTGTGGACATACAAATATATATATATACAAACATCGCACGTGGGTGAATTCAATTATAGGAACGATCCTGGGGGCTACGCCCCCAGGTCGTTAAAAATAAATAAAATAAAATAAAATAAAATAAAATAAGTGTGAAATATGTACCATTGTACAAATGTACATGTACTACATGTACCATGGACAATACATCAATGAAAATTAATG